AAAAAAAAAATAAAAATTTGCAAATGTCACTTTTTATGCCACCGTAGGTTTAAATGTACATTGAATTATTCTCGTTTATGCAAGGAAAATGTAGCCTTTAATGTCAACATAACATACAGACATACCGTGTAGAAGATTAAAAAAAATAAAAACAAAAACAAAAAAAACAACAACAAAAAAAAAACAAAAAAAACACCAAATACATCCTCTTTTGTTGAAAAAAAGGCATTGCTGTTACTTTGGGGGTAATAAGCATATAAAGGCTTTATCTTTATTTTGCTTTGCATTGCTGATTTTTGATTCCTATAATATATTTAAATGAATAAGTTAAAATATCTGTTCTGCTTCAGCAATGAATGCTACTTATTTTCAGTCAATTTTACTACCCACCAAGATATAACCGAAACAAACATAACAATAAAAGCGGTATACCATCATGTCATATTATCGATGTATGTTAAAGGAGATTCACTGAGAACCAAACGATTAAAAAAATCGTACATGGATTAACTGGTATATTTGAACATAAAATATTAAAAGGGTGATAAATAATTGCGTTCAGAATTAAATTGAAGATCCAAATTTAATAAGATTCTTTTTTCACAATTCAAATCATTGTCCGGGTGTAAATGATCTGAAATTTTACTCAAAAAAATGTTATTTGTATAAACCTAAAACAAATGGCAAAGATTTAAGAAGCACCGATGATTCTACAATCCTCAGTAGAGGCACTTTGCTAGAAACATTTAATTTTAACCATATCGCCTTCTCAGTTAACTCCTTATATAATTTAAAAAGAGTTAACCTGTTCACTACGAGCGATTATTGTACACTCTTGGTATTTAAGAGGCTGATACAGAGTGGCTATGTAACATGATACATATATCTACGTCATCATATATTGTATGGATACTACATCCCATCTATTCTATATAAAATTGAAAATCAATTTCTGAAATTAATACTATGAAGTTTATAGATGATAGTGCATAACATTTGTATAAAAACTGGTTCATCAATAATCATAATTAGTCATCTTTGATAGTACAATTTTTTCTTCATGTATTAAAATCTAATCATCTTGAAATAATTAAACATTAAAATGTCATTTCGTTTCTGTCGTCAATTCTAAAAATTCTCATGCTCTAAACTAAATGTTCTCACGTAGGTTTGATATTTATTAATGTGAAAAGTTATTAAAACAAAACTATTAGTTCATTTGTTATCAACCTTATAAAAGTAATATGATATCCAAAGTATAATTATCACTGGGCGGCAATTCTTATGACTCTGGCTGTCAAATTATAAGTTAATTGGTATTTCCCATTTGGTCTGCTTTTAATTTAATCTCCATTATGTTCTGATTACGTTGTTAACAAATTCCATTGTTTTCTTTCATTGGTCATTTTAAAATTACACAGAATGAATCACTGATTAACAAGTTCACAGTATCTGTGTTTAAGTATACTGTACTACAAAATTACGGCTCCAGTTAAATCCAAATTAACGATAGCGTAAAGGTTTGTTTATGGTTCGTTTTGGTCTCTGGTGTATATGTTGTGGTTGGTCTGGCGGTTTCGGTGGTTGTTGAGATACAGGCTCTGGCGGTGAAGTTTGAACCTGTGGTTGTTGTGCCATAGGTGGTGGTTTCCAGATTGGTTTCAAATGCGAAACGTCTCGTGTAATTAATTTATCCCCGTGTTTAACAGTTTCATAGATCCTTTTTTATTGACCACAATACCTGGCGTGTGAGTAAATGGTGTGGTAATTTTGTTTTCTTTCTTTTTCTTCAATAAGACGTTGTCACCAACTTTTTGTCTGAGTACAGTTTGTTTTGTTTGTACGTAAAGTTTCGTCGCGTTTTCTTACGTATTTGTCTGGTTTCTCAGGTCGAAATTCTGGTAACTTGGTGCGAATATTTCTACCAAACATTAAAGTACTTGGCGGAACACCCGTACAAGAACAGAACGATAATTCATTAGGAACGTATTGAGTTCTTTTTTTCAAGTTTTGACCTTGAACATGCGAAGCAAGAACAGTTTTTGTCAGCGTTTTCATGAAACGTTTTGCGATTCCATTTGCTTCAGGATGTAAGGGAGTTATACGTCTGTGTTTAAATCCCATTTCTGTGGCGAAATTGGCAAATTCGCGTCCTTGGAATGGAGGTCCGTTATCGGTTCTTACAACTGATACTGTCCTAAACACAGAAAAAATATTCCTCAGTCTCGACGTGACTGTTGCGGCTGTAATATTTTGCAATGTTTCTACAAACGGATACCTACTGTAGTCATCAATCACTACCATAAGATATACGTGTGCGTTCGGAATGGGTCCATAGAAATCAACGCTGATTTCATCCCAAATTCGTGTTGGTAGGGTGCACAACTTCATTGGTTTTGTTGGATTTCGTGGATCAATGCTCATACAAGTCATACAAGATTTCACTGTATTTTCACATTTTACATCAATGAGAGGGAACCAAACTTTTTCTCGTAACAATTGTTTTGTTTTTACTTATCCGCTATGTGACTCGTGGGCAATGTCAATGACCTTCTGATGCATGTTTTCAGGTATCACTAGACGCGTGCCACGTAAAAGAACTGTATGGTGTCTAATATGGACCACTGTCAATTCTTCTCGAATTCTGAAGAAAAGTTCATAGTTTTTGTTTTTCTTGCGCATTTCTTTATTCCATTTATTTGTTTTAACAGATTCTATCACTGTAGGCAACAATTCATCTTCTGTTGTCGCGGATGCTATTTCATTTAACGTCATAGCTTTGGGTACGGCACATTCAGATACAAATTGCACGTATTGTTGAGCTAAAATAGACTGAATATTGTCTTCCTCTGCTGTATTTTCAAGAGGATGTCGACTCATAAAATCTGCAGGCTTTCAGAACCTTTCTTGTATTGTACATGAAAATCATATCCTACAAGTCGAAGTCTCCACCTTTCGAGTCTCAGTGGCTGATTCGATTTTGGATGATTGAAGATTGCTTCAAGACACTTTGCATCTGTAATCAGTTTGAACGGTTTTCCATACAGATACATTTTGAAATGTTCAATCGACACAACGAGTCCATAGCATTCTCTTTCTGACTGAGAATAACGTTGTTGAACTGGTACCAAAGCTTTGCTTGAGTAAGCTATTATCTTATTAACATGGCTCAATATTCCAGCGACTCCTACACCACTTGCATCAACGGTGAGTTCGAGCTCTTTATTCGGATCATAGTACGGCATAACAGTGTCACTAGTCAATACATCTTTCAGTTTTACGAAAGCACTTTCTTCATTTTTTGTCCATCGCCATTCCTTTTTGAGTCAATTTTCGTAACGGCTCGGTCAATGTGGAATAGTCGTGGATAAATCTTGACACAAAATTTGTCATACCAAGAAAACTCCGTAATTCTGCTACGTTTGTTGGGCTTGCAGCTTTCTGGATAGCTTCCACCTTTTCTGGATCTGGTGATATTCCTTGATCAGAGAATATGTATCCATAGAACTTAATCTTGTTCACTTTGAACATACATTTCTTTCTGTTTAGAGTCAGATTTTTCTCTGAACAAAGCTTCAAGAAACTAATCATGATCTTCTACGGCATACAAAATAATGTCATCTGCGATGTTCATCACGTTTTGTAATCCATTTAATGCTTGGCGTATTTCGTTCTGGAAAATTTCTGGTGCTGCCGATACACCATAGTTTAATTTTTTATATCGACGTAATCTAATATGCGTAGAGAACGTAGTGATATACCTTGACTCTTCAGCAAGTGTAATTTGGTGAAATGCTTTATTCAAGTCCAGCTTACTGAAATATTTCGCATTGTTCATTTTTGCGAGGATTTCATCAATTGTAGATATCACGTGTCTCTCTCTTACGATTGCCTTATTAGGTTCACGCATGTCAACACACAGTCTTATTTTATAATTTTCTTTTGGAGCGCATACGATTGGGCTCATCCATGGGGTAGGACCAGTAGATTTTTCAATGATGTCCTCTCGTTCTAGATGTTCAATTTCGGCTTCCACTTTTTTTCTCATGTGGAACGGAATCCGGCGGTGTGTTTCGGCAACAGGGTTTACATCCTTATTTATGTGAAGCTTAATTTCCTTGATTTTTAAGTTTCCGACACCTTTAAAACTGTCGGAATATTTGTCAACAATGTCCTGCGCTGAAGTGTGTATTTGTTTTATTTCCGATATAATATTTAATTCAACTGCAGTCTGAACCAATTAAGATTCACCATGGTGTACTATGTAAAATTCTGCGATTGTTATTTTGTTTTTATTTGCAATTTCACAAACACACTTTCCTACAAAATTGACTGGCTTTGTCTGTCGATAGGCGTATGCTTTTACTTTTGATTTCTCCATCTTTGGTCGAGGATTTAGTTTGTTCAGCGTGTTTAAAGTACTTCCTGTGTCAACGGTAATATCCATGATTTTGTTATAAATATTTATTTTCACGCGCGGTGTTTTCTTGACTTTGCATTTGAGCACTGTGGAGTTCACTTTTAATCCAAATAATGCGTCTTCGTATATCTTCTCTTCGGATATCTCCTCAAATTCATTTTCTTGGATAGATCGTACATTTACCGATCTTATTGTCCTGCACACTGATTTAAAATTATTTTTCTTTCTGCAAGCATTACACTTTTTACCAAAGGCGGGACAAGAGTCCTGATGTGGGAAGTTTCCCCCACAGCGTGTACATTTCCTCTGAGAATCACGTTGTTGACTTTGTTCTTTCTTGACATGAGTGTTTGGGAGACGTCGGCGTCGTCGACTTCGACTTTGTTGATTTGACAGAACCTCACCAGCGGCATTTCCTTCCATGACCGTTGCTTGTTGTGTAGCAATTTGTGCTGTGCGACACATTGTTATAAGATCTTTTAGGGGTTTTTCTCCTTCTAGGCATCTTGTTCTTAATTTATTTGAATTCAAACCTTTTTTAAATTGAGTCTTGATCTGTGAATCGGGGTCTGCAAATTCACAATCTCTAGCTTTCTGACGTAATTGTGTAACATATTCATCTATACTTTTGTCTTGTTGTGTCACGTTTCCTAATTCAAAACGCAGAAATTCTGTATTCTTTTGTGGTTGAAAATAATCCGAAAGTTCTTTCTTCGTGTCATCATAGTTGTTATCAGCATTGGATAATGTTGGAAAAGTTTTGTAAATTTCAAATACTTCGTCACCTGCGTAGTGTAATAATAAAGCTTTCTTTCTTTTGTTTTTGTCAATTCCGAGTCCATTTATTAAATTTTCAAATTTTTCGACGTAGATACCCCATCTTATACCGACATTGCTTGGATTTTCTTTAATCGTGAATGGTGGGAATGGTATTAATCCAGTCATTTTTGCAAACAAGTGTTCTACACGGATTTTGCTAAATGTTTAAGAACTAATCAGAATTCCAATCATCACTGTTATTTATTTCAATTCAATTATCCTCGTCGCCATTGTAATATCTGCTATGTCCCTGGGGGCCGAGAACCCAGTAAGTAACACAGTGTATGTTTTATATTCGTTTATTCACTACGAGCGATTATTGTACACTCTTGGTATTTAAGAGGCTGATACAGAATGGCTATGTAACATGATACATATATCTACGTCATCATATATTGTATGGATACTACATGTACTAAAGTGAAGGTATAACGGAAAGAACTTAGACCTTGGGGGGAAATAAGCATAATGGCTTAATTTTCCTTTTTGCATTGCTGATAATTTTTATTCCTATAATATACGTAAATGAATAGATTAAAAATCATTACTTAGTCTAAAGAGCGATGGTTTATATGATTAAGAAATACATTTCCTCTTTAATAAAATATCATTATTAACAAAAATATAGAAAAAGATATACAGAATATTACACGATAACATAACAAAGATCATTGTAATTCAGTTGACTACAAGTAACCTACACTGTTATTAACCGAACATTTTCGAAGTATTTCGCTTAAATTATTTAAACGTAATTATTTTGTAATTAACATTTCGAGTTAATGAGAATCTTGGCGAACTTGATTACAATTCTCACTTAAATCGTAGTTTAATCAAAGTTAATTGGAAAAAAATTGTCGAAGCGGTTACCAAAAATGCACGATGTTGATCATCATTCAACGCAGAATTAAAATATAAGCGTAGAAGAGTAGTCCTTTTTTCTTCCTTTCTTATTTTTTTTTGTTGTTGGAATGTATGTCGCAACAACACATTAAAGGTTCTACTACATTGTTTACGCTTTACTGCTGCAGGAAGACCTCAGGTGCCCCAATGCATTATTTCAAGCACGAACGAGCACTGAGAAGAACTAACAATAACCTGTAAGCCGGCTGGATATGAGAAAAGAAATAATAATTATCAAATCAATTATTCTTAATCAACAGCATCTGGGACTTGCAAATTAGAATGAGGTTGTTAAAAATACGTTGCAACATAGCATGCTCTGTAGGTAAGGTGTGAATTTCGTCAGAAGTAGAACATTATTAATTATAAGAGTGAATACAAAAATTAAAATTCATTATTACAAAGATAAGGGATGAACACATTTTTAAGTAAATATTTCTTTAAAAAACTTGTCACCAAGTATTTTCTTTGTTAGCCAGTCACGAGTTTTTCGTCCGTATAATTGTAAACTTTCTGCCCTACAAGTTTAAAATATTACCTTGTATTTAAATCTAGTACAATGTTTATAAAATATATCAATATGATTATGTAAATTTGAACTGCTGGCGAGTATTTATAATTCAGTTGGTTTCAATATTGGTTGTTAAACATTAAAATATTCCATGATCCTTTGTCGATAATTATTGAATTCCAAAGTTAATTATGCACATTCTAAAGTATGTCACAATTTAGTAGCATCATTCGTTCATTTCCAGCCTCAGTGCCAAGGTGTTAGACTTTAAGTTTCAAAGTGATGGTAATAGGTTCGATCCATAATGAACATTTCGTGTGTATACTTTCTTTTTTTTTCCATTATATGTTTCGGAACTAAACATTCTTTTCTCAAATATTAATCACTCATTGAACGATTATACATTTTAAAATTAATTAAATTCACATGTTATGAAACAATAGAGACCCGAAGTTAAACAAAAATTTATCCACTCATTGTTGAGGACCCGAACATACAATTCTGTTGCATTTACAACTTAATAATCAGGTCATAATTTTGAATTTAAGTATCGAGAACTTTATTTTTTCATTAAAAACCACTGTTTGATTCGTAAGCAATAAGGGAAATTAATAAGTCTTTTGTCAATATTGTCAAACAATACATACTTCTCGTTCAATCATCCATGTTTTTCCGCAAAATGCTTATCCAAAAGTCATGCGACATAGGTGCCGTGTTTTGTTTTTCTGTTTGTTTGTTTGTATGTTTTTGGTTGGTTTGTTTTTTTGTTTTTTGTTTGTTTAAGCTCACCAGAACCGTACAAAGAAAGGAGGGTGAGCTATAAGTATCAAAAAGGGATGCTCCGGCGTCCGTCGTCATGCATCAACAATCTTCTCTGAAACTGCTGGGCAGATTTACTTCAAATTTGGTCTGTAGCATCCTTGTGACAGTCACACTTAAATTTGCTCATGTCATTTCAATTGGCCCCTTTTAGGGTCAACGGAGCTAAAAAAAGAAAAACCTCTAAACAGCTTCTACTTCAAAACTAATTGATCGATGATCACAAAACTTTGTTTGTAGCATTCTGGGTAGTCTTTGATCAAGTTTGCTCATATAAATTTGATTGGCCCCTTAAAGAGGCGGCTAAAGTTAAAAATAGAAAAACCCTTAAACGTCTATTTCTACAGAACTAATTGAAGAATGATCACCAAACTTTGTCTGTAGCATTCTTAGGTAGCCTTTTATCAAGTTTGCTGATATAAATTTGATTGGCCCTTTTTTAGGGAACAACAGAGCTAGAAAAAACCTTTGAACATCATTTCCTACAGAAATAATTGATAGATGATCAGCAATAATTGTCTGTAGCATTCGTTTGTACTCTTTTATCAAGTTTGCCTATATTAATTTGATTAGCCCCTTTTAGGGGTCGCTAAAGCTTAATATAGAAATATCTTTAAAAGTGTCCTTCTACAAAATAATTTATAGATGATCACAAAATTTTGTCTGTAGCATTCTTTAGGTCTCCTTTATCAATTTGCTCATATTTATTTGATTGGACCCTTTTTGGGGCAGCTACAGCTAAAAAGTAAAACATTTGAACATCATTTCCTACTGAAATAGTTGATAAATGATCATCACACTATGTCTGTAGCATTCTTAGGTAGTTTTTCTTATCAAATTTGCTTATATTTATTTGATCTGCACCTTTAAGGGGCCGCTAAAGCTAAAAAGAAGAAATACATTTAAACGTCTCCTTCTACAGAACTAATGGATGGATGATCACCAAATTTTGTCTGTATTTTTCTAGGGTAGTTATTATCAAGTTTGCTCATATTAATTTTATTGACCCCTTTTAGTCTCAGCTAAAGTTTAAATTAGAAAAACCTTTAAGCATCATTTCCAACTGAAATAATTTTTGGATGATCACCAAACTTTGTTTGCGGCATTCTTGGGTAGTATGAGCTCATATTAACTTGATCTGAAATGACCAAGATTATGGCATTTATTCAAATTATTGTTTAAAGATATTCTGTGCTCAAATTTAACATTGAATATTGATAATGAATATTTCAAACTCTGAAAAGCAGTTGTTTCTGGTGAGCGACTCAAGGCCATCATGGCCCTCGTTTTTTTGTTTGCTTTGTTTTTTAAGATGCACTATTGATTATCTTGTTAGAGTTTCAAAATATTACTGATTTGCCCTATACATGAACGTGTTTTGCTCCTTTAGCTCAGTTGGCAATGGGTTTAATTACATGTATAATGAATTAGTATTTTGATGGAGGTCAAATACTACTTTTTTATATTTTGATACCATTACGACATATTTCTGCACATTCAACGCTACTTTTCAATAATATTAATAATGATATTGATAACTTTATTACAGAAGGTAACACATTAAGACATATACAGATTGTAACACCTTATTTACAACGCGACCTTCTAAATTAAAATGAACAACGAAACACACATGCAAACCAGTCCTGTTAAGAGGATCTACCCACTCATGTAGTGCAAGCAATTACTCTGCTCCTATATTTTCTGTAAGAATGTTAGCCAATACCAGCAAAGGGTTTGCAATAATTTACAGTATGTTTAACATTTCAAAATCTTTTGAATAAATTCTAGTAATTATATATCAGTTCTGTAAATTGTATCAGTTTATTTTTGTTACACTACATATACTAAAAGGAATGTTAGAAAATTTACAAATATATGTTAGTCAATGCAACTCAATACCAGCATGATGATACAATTTTTCTATAATCATAGATACAAAAATGTAATTACATCTACAGATACATGTGTAACAAAGCAATAAAAACACACAATACAATAAGAAATTATAAAGTGTAAGTTTGTGTGGTACAATATAAGAAAATAACATTCTAGTTCATAAGATCTTAAAAGTATATTAGAATCTACACGTCGAATACCTGGATAAAGATTTATAAGCAAATGTTTTGGCAACTTTTCAAAATATGATGATAAGATTTGTTTGAAGCAACATATTTAAATCTTGAATAAATGAGAACACCAAGTTCTGATTGCACTCTATGAAAATATTCATGTTTTACAGGTCTACTGTGGTAAAAACCTTTTATTCCTTTGGGGAGGTTTTTTAAGTTTGAATAGACAACTTTATATATTCTCGGCATAAGAATGCTATGCCTTTAATTCTCTTTTGGAAAGGGCAAACAGAATTTTATAAAGTTTAATTTATGTTTTTTTAGCATGTTAGATGCCAATCACATAAATGATATAGTGTTTAAATTTCCATAAAAATACTAGATCGCTATAGCTGTACTAATAAAATTTATTCATTTTAACATTACAGACAAATACATACGATAAATGTTTCAATAACTATCAAAAATGAATCAAATGTTTGACAAAATATCTTGAAAACCTTCAGAGAGGTTTCCCTAATCATCGACAAGTTAGTGGGTTTTTTTTAATAAAAAGTTTCAAATATATATATCTTTCCCTTATCATTAGTATGTTAGTGTTTTCAAATTAATTTTCAACTATATCGGTTAGATCACCACTTAAATCTCGTTTTGCTACATTTCAGCGCCACTTATTTCAGCTTATGAGTAGATCTTATATGTTTAAAATCAATGTAAGATAATATTTTCAAAGAAAGTGTTTGCTAGACTTATTCATAATGTTCTTTAAAGCTAAAAATAGTCGTTATCAAATATTAATTATATTGATGCTTTTCATGTATCAATTAATACCTGCCCCTGCCCTGACCGCAATTTTGAGGGCCATTCCGAATATATTGATATATGACAAATATTTGATAAAAAATCTCTCATAATTCATTTTCATGGAAACTGATAAAAATATTTTACATACTTGTGCTATAATAATATGTTCCCTCATTTGGAAAAAAGAATTTGATCAGCCATTTACATTTTTTAAAATATTGTCAATTGTATAAATATACAACATTGACGCCCAAAATGGAGGTAAACATTGTGAAAATCAGGAATTATCTATAATCGTTAAAACTATTCTCCAAAGCATAATATATTGGGGAGATTGCTTAACTTCTTCAGGAGAAAATCAAGCAGCAATAACCTATCTTTATCCTTCTGGCATATTCATTGCAGCTAAAAATATTTAATTTTAAACACTCTTTATGTAAACACTAATTTAATTGCTTTACAATCTGTCTAAATACATATAATACATATAAAATGTTAAAATTATTATTCCATTTACAGACTATTCAAACATACCAAAATTATTTACCACACTGTATGTCGTGCCTAAAAACGAACAATTAAAAAAATCTGTGTTTTTGCTGTGAGGTAATAACAATCCACCGGTATTGTGTGAAATTGTTTTCATAAGAATTATATTAAGGAACAGATGTAATATGTGTCCCAGATGTATTCCTTTCTGTTAATTGTCTGTATTTTTCACAAAGAAGACGACAAACAACTTTTGTGCATAGAAAACAAATTGCTATAAACAATCCCTGAAGGGAATTGAATATGATAAATAGATACCACATGTACGATTTATTTAAAGCATTTGCCACAAACGCAAATACCCAAGTTAGACCCATTATTAGGGATAATTTGATGTTTATTATAAAAGAGCACGTATTCTTTCGTCGTGTTGCCATAGCTCCCTCTTTCTTTGCACGGGCAATATGAACTGCTGTTGAAATAAAAGATATTATATCCAATAACTTAAACACAGCAAGCGGACCAGCAAAGAAAAGTATTAAAGCATCTCTTGAGGAAATCCAGCAAACATTTTTCCCGTATCCAGGTTTAAAGTTGTAGAATTTCTCATCGAAATTAACAAAGTCCAGTATAAGAGCTGTACCCACAATCATGGTTGGCAATGTCCAAGCATATATAGAATATCTTACGAATCGTTTGCGTCCTTTACTGTCAGATCCAGGCGTCATGAATCTGTTTGAAAAGGTCATCCACAGGTCAAAGGCAATGACATTCATCCAGCAGAAAGCAGCCAGGAAAAAGTAATGAACTAAAATTCCAAAAATGATACATAAAATATGGAAATTCTCAACTTGAGAAGCTACAAGAAACAAAACATGTGCAAAAAGAAGGGAAATAATAAGGCTGACGAGAATTTTTCCAGGGACATTTAACAGCTGAGGAAATGCTACATACACTGCTAAAGTTACGGCTAAGGACAAAATTGACACAACAAGACATAAAAGTGTTAGATCACTTTCAACAATATCAGTATAGGAAACATATTTGCTAGTTTTGCAGTCATTTGCACACGTTTGTGATTCATTCACACATATAAACACTGAATTCCCTTTGACATGATACTTTTCAGTCGAATAATGCTTATTGTGTGAATGTATAAACAATGTCTTGTTTATGAATTTATACTCTTTTGATTCGACCTTTATAAAAGTACAATTCTCCTGAGTCACATGACCCAAGTCATGATTCAATTTCATTATCTTAAATGTATTAGAAATTTTACTTATACATTTTCCTTTCAAAGGAACAAGAGATGGTGCACAGTGTATTTCCCTACATTTCTGAAAGTGATTGACGTATACTTCATTCTTCTTGCATTGTTTAACATCCTCTTCTTTTTCGTTTCTATACGCTTTACCTGTGTTGATATTTACAGTAAGTGCTAAACTGTATAAGGATAATCTACTGTTCGAGTCAATGGTTATAACGTCATCATCTAAATATTCACAAAGTAGTGAATCCTCGCTGACACCGTTGCATACAGCACAGTGTTTATTTCGGTACATTGTTCCGGACATATCAAATGTGACGGCGTATATGCCGTCTTTGCACTCCTTGATTATTTCGTAAGAAGTAATCCCGGTAGTCTGATTACATACAGATATAATAGATTGTGATAAACGACACGTTCTGTACGAATAATCCGGGTTTGGTCTTTTAAAATGATTTAAGCAATCTTTCGTTTTTGAAAGACTTCTTACGCCAGTTTCATTCCGACATTTGATTTCATGGGTCCAATAATAAAAATCCTCCACAAAATTACACTGTGCACAGTACATATTTTTATACATAACATGAAACAGTGTTTTATCAGAAACAGGGAGTCGTAGTATTATATCATTCATGTTTGATTCAGCTTCGCAAAGTGCTCTTGTAAAATTATGGTCCCATTCCGGTGAACATTTCGTTACTAAAGTAACTCCATATACAGCGTTGTTTTTAACAATTTCATGTAAATTCACGCATTCAAACTGATCCACCGTTAATGTAGGTTTTTCTGAATAGCCGTAATTTGAACAACAATCATTCATTAATCCCCCCAATTTTTCAAAAATACAAAACCTTTTTGGGAAAAGTTTTTGTGTTCTTTCGAGCATCTCCCCCTTTTTTTTACAATCATCCCCAACCGAGTGCATAGTAAGTAATTTTTCCCTACTCCCATTATTAATAAATTTTACATGTTGTTTAAAGCTCTTCGGTTTTTGGGATACTTTAAAATCTGTGTTAAATTGTTTTCCCTTTTCCACCTTTTAGACTGAAAATTCCCAAAAAGCTTCCCCCTTTTACAACTAAAATTTTCCGAATGAAATAACTTTTTCCCCAATTAAGGGTTTTTGGGCAAATTTTTTGAAATTTTGGGTTCCCATTCCCTTTTTAAAAGTTTACTTTTAAAAAAGATTTAATCATAAAACCCAATTTCTTTTTTAAAATTTTTCAAAAATATCCCTATTAAAATTTTTTTTTAAATCGGGAAAAAGCTTTTTAATTTCTTGTATTTTCCCCCGGGTTTTGCCACAATATTTTAAAAGTCTTTTAAATTTCAACCTAAGCGCTCCCCTAAAAGAAAATTTTTATTTCGTTAAAAAAAACAAAAAAAACTCCTTATAAAGTCCTTTTGGTAACTAAGCAAATAAATCGCACTTTACAGTTTTATCACAATAAACCCATCGGAAAAATTTTGGATTCTTTGAAAAAAACTACCCTTTTTACCTTTGTTTTTGGGGGGAAATTTTTTACATTTTTAAAATTACAAAATTTTTATTTTTAAATATTTATAAAATTTATTAAGGCGTAAATCTTAACAAAGAAAAAAGACCAATGTAAAGTAGGGTTATTTTTATCAATTACTTATGAAAAAGGCATTCTCCCCAAAAATTTTTTTTATGTGTTTGTTTTTTTTTAAAGATATTAAATATTGCTGAACGCTTTTTCAAATGTGTAAAAAAATGTGTTCTTTCATTCTCATGATAAGGTAAAATGTTGTAAATGAAAATTGTTTCAAATTATGTTCCTTAAGTTTAATACGCCCGTCTCGGCACTATTGATAATTCATGCGTTGGCGAATAAAGGAATAAATTACATTATTAACTCTCTTTACACTTTTTGTATGTAAGTCAGCATTTATTGAAAAAACAATATTTGAGCTGCTTTGTCAAAATATATTGAATTTGTATACACATTACGCATACAATATATGAAGCAAATTCGATTAAGAATTAAGTATAAGGGCCTTTAAATACTTAAACGTGCAAAGAGAGGAAAAGAACCATCAAATATGATTGTTTGTCTGACAAATAAAAAGAAACCTGTTAACAAAGGAAAATTTCCATGTAACACTCTAGAGACAATTTTATTCATATTTGTTTCTGTAAGAAATTTTGTGACAAATTTACCCTGTCCCAAAAATAAATTTTCGACTAAATGAAAAATTTTTATTTTGCAAATTTTTGAGCCCAACAAAACTATTGTTTCCCCCGTAACTAAAAAAAATATCAAAGTGATTTCCCAATTTTTTCAAAATTTTTTAAGCTCGTATTCTGAAAGGTCTGAATTATTTTCTATTTTTTAAACCGAAACCCTCACTTTACAACACCTTTGGGCCCCAAAAAAGAATTATTTGCTTTTTTATTATGTTTTTTGTTTTTTTGTATATATTTTTTAAAAAAGCAATTTCAAAGAGTTTTACTTTTAACGATTGCCAAAATTATGTATATGTGATTTTTTACCAGTATACATTTAAGGACTTGAATTAAATTTTCTTTACATATTTCACTCCTTAAAAGGGTAAAACTTGAAACAAAAAAAAAATTTTAGATAAAAACATCAATTTTAATTATAGTGTTTTTTCTTTTTTTGATGGAAAATATTAAAGATCATAAAATTAATACCCGAACTAAATTTCCCCAGTTTTGTTTAAAAAAAAACCCGGGGTTTTTAGTTATTTATTCCCCTTTTAAAATAATCATTCCCTTTCCCTCCCTTTTTTTTTAAATTTTTCTTTTTCATATATTTATACTTTTTTATGAAATTTTTTGGGGGGAAAAAACTTAAAACCCTTTTTAAAAAATAATGTGGGGAAATTTTTTTTAAATTTTTTTTTTAAAGGGTTTAAAATTAAGAATTTTTAATTTATAAAAACTTTTTTTTTTTCCGATAAAATTTTCCACTTTTCCAAAAATTTTTTGAAAACAATTGCGGGGGATCCATTAGTTTTCCTTTAACCCCCAACGTAAAAGTACATGTATAAAGACTTGCTAGATAATGCTTTTTATCGCCAAGCACTTATTTAGTAACAGAACATCAAGCAAAAAACGATATTGTTTGAAAAAGAAACATTAAAAATGAGATCACTGCAGTCCATAAATTGCGTTGTCCTCAATTCTGTTATTACATATTTCGAAATTGCCGTCTAAATGATAATTGGTTCTATCCAAATAGACGATCGGCCGAGCCATTAAAGATATTAAGTGTTGACTTGAAAAGGGTGTCTTTTGTCGATATGCAGAAGTCTTGAATTGCTTTTCTTACAATAAAATGACTTTCTTGAGAATTGTAGTGTATAAATTGTGCAAGAAAAAAATAAAAAAAAGATAATTTATCTTAATATGTTTTAAAGTTTCTAAACTAAAAGAGAAAAAAGAAATTTTTACGAAAATTTCCCGCTGTCCCAAAAACCCGGGAAAGAATTTTACTTAAAAACAAACTTTTTCCAAAAATTTTAAAACCAAATGGGGTTCAGATAAAATTTTTCTCACAACATTTTTACTGAAACAAAAATTTAAAGCCACCAAACAACCCCCTGTAAAAATTTAAAGATATAAATTTTAAAAATTTTTCAAAAATGACCCTTTAGAAAAAAAAATTATCAATTTGGGGTTTAGAAAAAACTCTTAAATTTTTCTTTAACTAACCTTAAAACCCAAAAACAAAGGGTTTTCAATTTCAAAATTTTAATTTTTTATTTGACACTAAAAACGTAAAATTTACAGAGGAAAAATATTTTTGCAAGTTAATTTAAAACCAAAAGAATCAAACCCAAATAAAAAGCCGGATATTTTTTCTTTAAAAATTTGGTCATTCAAAAACAATCATTGATATGGTAAATATGTAATAAAACGTTTATTAAATTGACATTACGTGCATTTTGTCCGCTGCAATGTTGAGTTGACTTAGCTTAGAAATATATTTTAAAAGATTGACTTTTTCATTGATGACAGACTAAAAATTAAAAAGAACAATGTTATGGGACAATATATAAACAACCAATATTATAAAAGGCACCACAGTCTTTTGAAGAATTGAACGTTACCAATACCGTACGATATTTATAGGAATTGCCATTGGTCATGCGAATCATCGATTATTTTTTTCCAAGTAAAATATGATATTTAACACAGTTATTGCAAATGTTAAGTTATTTCGATTTTTCACAGACGATTCACACTTAATTGTCCATTATCTGAAATTATGTCACTTAAAATAACAATTATGTTCTGCATTATGTAAATGCATTCAACTCACAAAATTTTAATCAAATTGGGGGAAACTATTTATTTAAAGTTTCCTACGAAATTTCCTCATTCTTTTGATCTTTAAGTTAAAATGAAATTAGTAATTTTTTTGCAAGATTACTAATTTAATTGGGGATTGACTAATATTTATAACGAAAATGTTTAAAGCTAACCCTATTAAAACTATCTCTAAAAATAATAAAAACCCCCTTTTTTTAAAAAAATTAACCCTACCATAAAATCTAAAACCCTTTTTAAAAATTCATTGGGCACGGGAAATTTTTTTTTTTTTTTATAGTAAATTATTAATTTAAAACAATTATGTCAAATTTTTTTAATTTTAAACCCTTTAAATTTTAAAAATAACCCTTTACATTTTTGAATCCCAAAAGTTTTAATATGAAATAAAAAAATATTTTGGTAAAATAAATTTATTATTATCATAAAAAAAAAATCCCACGCAGTCAATTTTTTTCCCAATTTTAAAATTAAAAATGGCCCGTGTCCTTTGGATATGAAAAAAAACCATTTAAGAAAAATAATTCAATTTTATATTAAGTGAGGGTTTGGGATGTCGATAAAATTCTAAGGGGTTTAATCCGGATTTTTTTAGTCTCCTTAAAATTTTTCACAAACCAAATTTTACTTTTCGTTTTTAATTAAAAGCTTATTCCCAGAAACACCTTAAGTTTTTTGAATTTATAAAATATACAAACCTAGCTTTTTAGTTAAAACCCCCAAAAAAGAAATAACCCTGTAATGCCAAAAATTAATGAAAAATTTAAATAAGCAAACAAGAACAAAATTAAACCCGGGAAAATTTTTTCTTCCCCCTTGCCCTTGAGATTTAAAAGATTAAAAAAATAACCCAAACTACATCACATAGCTTGAATACAGCAAGAGGGCCCAAGAGAAACAATAACAAAGCGTTCTTTGAAGAAATCCAGCAAACAGTGTCTCCATATCGGGGCTTATATTTATTATAACCAGAATGTGTATTCTCCAAGATCACCGCAGAAATAACAATCATTGCTGGAAGTAACCAGCCGTACAGGCAGTATTTATAGAATATTTTGGACTTATATGAGCTTACAATTCTCGAATGGGAAAATGTTATGAACAAATCAAAGGTAATAACATTCATCCAACTGAACGATGCTAAAAAGAAATAATGAATTAAAATAGCTTTGACTTTACATGCCATTAGATTATTAGAGGCCTGGTTAGAAAAAAGAAAAAGAACCTGTGCTGAGAGTAAGCCTATCATCAAGCATATTAAATTCTTTCCCGGCGTGTTACGTAGTTCCGGGAAGATCATATACACCGAGAGGGTAACTACCAGTGCTACAATAGAACATGTCAACCCAAAAAGTGACAAGTAACTTTCAACTATATTTGCATTCATTATAAAAGTAAAATGGTTGTATTTATTTGTTTTAAATATCTCGAAACACATATATACCTGGGAGTCGTTTACATAAAATTTTGATGAATCGATTGTCCTATTTGATGACACTAGTAAAATAGTT